TGGCAGTTGCCATCCTGGGCCAGGGTGTGTGTTTGTGCGTGTCTCTGTGTGTATGTGTGTGGCACTTGTCATCCTGGGCCAGGGTGTGTGTGTGTTTGTGTCTGTGTTTGGCAGTTGCCTCCTGGGGCCAGGATGTGTATATGTGTGTGTGTGTGTGTGTGTGTGTGTGTGTGGCACTTGCCATCCTGGGCCAGGGTGTGTGTGTGTGTGTGTGTGTGTGTGTCTGTGGCACTTGCCATCCGGGGCCAGGGTGTGTGTGTGCGTGTCTGTGTGTGTGTGTGTGGGCATGCGTGTGTGTGTGTGCGTGTGTGGCAGTTGCCATCCTGGGGCAGGGGGCAGGGGCTGTAGTTGCCTTCTGGAATTCCAAAGAAGTGGTCATTTGGCGCCATTTCTTGCCTGGGTACTTGCATATTTCCCCGACACCTTCCAACACACAAGGGCTGGTTTTGAGTCTACGGCTCTGTCTGGGCAATATTTTCCACTAAAACCTCAGCACTTCAGACTGGGAAAGAGAATAAACAGGGAAAATTAGTGAAAAAACAATACTAATGAGTTAAAAAGTTGACTTGCCCTGTCTTTCAAATAACTCACATTAGAGCTGAGCCACGTGTGTTGGTCATAGCCCCGCCTCGTCCACCTCACCCCAACAGCCCTCCAGAGTCCTGTGGGCAGGCACTGTGGTGACCTCTGCCCCCTTACAACTCCTGCCCTCACTTGCTCGCAGGGCCACTGCTAGGAAAGAACTCCTCCAGCAGACAAGCTCCCATCCACTGACAAGCAAAGACCCCCAAGATACACGGTTATGTGAAAAAAGTACAGCAGAAAGCAATTTGTAGCGAAGGTTACCTCTTAACGTTTAAAAAATGGGATAAATATAAGAACACATTGGCAAGTATTCTTAGATATGCATTAAAAAACTGAGAGGATCCACAGTAATACATTTGGAGGTGGGATAGCTGGGGATGGGCGAGGAACTTCCCACTGTGACTCTGAACTATAGGAATGTATGAGCTATACAATAACTAAGCGATTGAAATAAAACTGAAAAAGAAATACAGTGCTACAAAAGACCTATGGTCTTAAGTGTAAACACCTAACACTCAGGCTCATCTTCTTCTCAGGGTGAGTGTCAGGTAGCCTAAATCCAGGCCTCCTCCACCTAAAGAAAACATTACTCTTATTTCGAAAGCTAATTACTGAGAGATACGACCTGTCATAGGGCTGTGAAGGGAGCAAATGAATGCATGTTGGTCCAGTGGAGTGAAGAACTGCAAGGTGTCATATCCTGGAAGATAGTGTTGAGCCCAAGCTTTGAACTGTTTGAGAGCCAGGGAGAGACAAGAGGATTAGGAAGTTTGGTTGTCTACTAAGTAAAGAGGACTGACACCTTGATGACAGTGATCCACAGCAAACTGCTATCTGCAAAGACTGACCAGTAACCACTGGACACGTCAGTAGTCAATAAATACTTGTTGATTAATTGACATTTAAAAGGAAATTACGCTTGGAACTGTTCTGTATCTTGTTTCTGGTGGTAATTACAACCATAGCTATTTGTCAGAACTTGAACTGTACATTAAAAAGGGTAAATTATACTGTATATAATTTTTTTTTTAATTTTTAAAATTAAGGTATAATTCAAAGCAATTATGCTGAAGAGATCTATTTATTTGATAAATGTGGCTAAATGTATAGGTAACGTTATTACTGTGAGAAAAGAAATTTGGCCCTTTGAAAATAAATTTGTACATAATAGGCAAAAAAAAAAAGCTAATTACTGAGCACCCACTAAGTCCCAGGCCGAAAAACACTTATAGTCTCTACTACTTTGGGGACTGATGAAGGAAAACGAGGGGGTGATCTGGGAACAGGTCTGATCTTGGAAAGGTCACGTTGATTTCCAGTAGCCAGGTTGCGAGAAGGTCCTCTGACATTGCTTACTTTGACACATCCTCCTCCTGAAAAGTTCATCTCAAAAGATTTTCAGTGTTCCCCTCAGAAACTCACAAACTGTCTGAAAGTAGCTACCAACACTGAATTGCGAGGTGGAATTCACCCAATGTGAACACTTTTAAATAAGTGTTTCCCTGTTGAGAGACCCAAGAGGTTTGTCTTAATTTAGTGGGAAGCATTATAGAACTGTAACACTGAGTGAAATATCCTAAAATTAGCAGAGAAAAGTTTGCCAGTACTCTGACACACTGTTTCAACAAGTATTGTATACCAAAAAATATAAGGAGTGTACAAGGTGTTTGTGGCTTTGTATGGCTTGATTAAAACTAATTACACTTAGGTGACTTTACTGAATAGGTGTGAAAATCTCCCTCTTGTGGGTATAAACAGGGACAGGCATGCGGCTGGGTAGAAGGTACGAGTGACATTTATCTGAATCACGTGGCTTAGCTCTAAAATCAGTTGTTCTGGAACATGCCAATTAAGTCACTTTTGTTCAACTGCATCAACTTTAAAGGCTCAATAATCTTCCTAAAGATGCATCAAGATTTTACAATTAGAACGAGCTGTAACAAACACGTGTTATTTCTAGCCAAAAAATCCTCCAAATCAAAACCTCCCCACCCCCCGCCAAAAAACCCTGTGTCTCTCTGCAGAATCTCTGCTGCTCATTCTGTGGTTCTGTCCGTGGCCCCAAGCACGACGTTCGTGTCTCGGGGCTGAGTGTTGGGAAACTGAAGTGTCCGCCCACCTCCCTGACTGCTTCTGCAGAGGGAGCAGCCAGAGGGCTATTTCCCAGTTTTTACTCTTAGGTCTCGACTCAACAGTTAAACCATCAGGTCTATCAAATTAGAGATAAACTGAAGTTCCTCTTTCAGATCAGCGGAAATGACAAGTAGCTCCGTGTAACCCTGAGTTCTTTGAATATGCAATCCAGACCACACTTGCTGGTAGAGGGGCTCCGAGGGGCTCCAAGTCATTCACATTACTTCCTTCTACCGAGCAGGGAAGAGTCCCTCCTGATTTTAGGATATACACTGAGACGTTTTGTTTGTGTGTGGGGCGCTACCTGTCAGCAGCATTATGCTAAAACAGAAGAGCAAGGGGTGTACAAGACGACCTGACATGCTGGAGAGCCAGGGAGACCCAGCGGGTAGGATCCAATGATGCTGTGCTTAAGGGGCTTTCACCATCAGGACCCTCTGGGCTCTTGTTAGAAATATACTTTCTTGGTCCAACCCAGACTTGCCTGGGAGCGGGAAAGGCAGTGCTCATTTTGCAACAAGCCCTGCAAGATGTTCTGATGCAGGCTCAAGAACCAATGCCTGCGGATGTGAAGCGAATTCCTACCTGAGTCTTGCCTGGCCCAGGGTTATGGACCTACTTCATTAAACACGGAAAACCAACCAGGCCATGCTGGGAGACAGGGACCCGCCCGAGGGGCAGCAAAGGCCATTGGCTGGCTGGCAGAAGCATCTCCAGGACTCACCCAGCCCCTCCCCTGACTGGAAGCCCTGAAGCCACTGACCCCGCAGTTGACCCTGGCCCAGATGTGCCTGGACTCAGCTGGCCGTGCTGCCAGCCAAAGAGGGGATGCAGGCAGCTCTGAGCAGGTGGTGAAGGAGGCCCAATCTCCTTCGCTCTCTCCCCCTCCAGCCCTGCTCCAGGGCCTTGGGAAGAGCCAGACTCCAGGTCTAAAAATGGCAGGGGCTCTGGGACCTCAGGAGGAGAGAGGTTTAAAAAAAAAAAAACCATCTTCACGTCATCTGCGGCTAATCCCTGCCACAGGCCTTACCGAGAAGAGCAATGCAAGTTGTTCCCATCATTTATCTGTCAACGTATATCCACATTCAAATGGAGTCGCTGGTCCTGGATGTGCCCCCTAAACCTCAGTCCAAATTATTACCGTTGGGCATCTCCGTCATCCAGCACCTCCCGCTGCCTGATGTCCTCAGGACCTGCAGAGGGCAGACCGAACCTTCTGTTTTGCTTTATTGGATACACCAGGTGTGGGAGTTATACAAGTGTGCTCTACCCCGTGTGTCGGATGCTGTGTACCTGTGCACCTTCTCTCATAGGAGCTCTGAAATGAACTGACCTCGCTTACATATGGTACAAACACAAGCAAACCAAAATACAATCAGGTGGCATCCCAATGTGGGTAACATAAACAGTTAAATTACGAAGTCATTATTTTAAGCTCAAAATTCTTCAATGAAAATGGCATACAAAAACCATATAAATTACATTTAAGGTCTGTACAGGATTCTAAAAAATAAAAGAAAAAAAATAACAATACTGTGCTCTGTACAATATTGTCTCCTTTGTAACATTCCAAACCCCAGAAACACTTTCCCTTGAATTCCAGAAAACTGGGCAAAATACACATGCAGGATAATTAAAATCATTTCACAGAAGTACAAAATTGTGTGGGTTTCTTTTAAGGCACATTTCGTTTTAATACGGAACTCCCATTCCAGAAGCCCCTTTCTCATCAGACTCTGACAGGCGGCAGGCGAACGCGTCCTGTTCCCACTAATCTTTGGTGGCTGAAGGGAGACTGTTACTGGTGGGCGGCAGGGGTGGGGGGGGGGCGTAGCAGAGAGAAAAGCAGCCTCCTCCATCCTCACGCAGCAGCCCAGTCGCTGGGCATCGCAAAGCCCGAGGTCCCACCTCACTGCCTTTTTGTAGGCCTGTTTTCCCAATGTTTGGAAATATTCAATCCCTATACAGTATGGAGGGAAGATGCCACCTAATTTCCTTCAAAGCACAGGCACTGCTCACGGCCGATTGACCTCCAGGGAAATGTAGGTGGCACCGGGGGTCACCATGCATCCTGCTGGGTTACCTACCACCCCTGCCTTGTCAGGAGCCATTGGCTACAAGACCCTCCAACCAAGCAGGTGGGCACAGAGCTGCTCCGTGCACAAGAGGACGACAGAGGAGGACTTCGCCCAGGGAGACTGCACTCCAGCCCACTGGTACCCGGGGTGCGCTCCTCAGGGAGGCCCAAGTCTTCCGCCAAGCGCCCCGTGGCCCTGCAGCCCTCAGGCTTCCAGCTGGACCTCAGACTCGTCCATCTGCAGGGTGTCATTGTCTCCCAGCAGCTCAGTCTCGGGGACGGAGCCGTCCTCCTCCTCCTCTGCTTCCTGCACGGGGCTCTGGGCCACGTCTTCCGGGACATTCTGCGTGTCCTCAGTGCCCTCCGAGAGCAGGGCTGCCCTGTCTGCCACGGAGGTGTTGGAGGGCGCGGTGGTGACGTACCCCGTGCTGGTGGAGCCACTGCCACTGTGGTGGGAGCCAGGCTTGGGCACCATCTGGGCGGGTACCTGCTGCGGGGCCATCTGCATCGGGATCTGGACTGGGTAAAAGTTGGGCAGGTAGGCCCCGTAGGCCGGCACGGGCTGGTACCCATTGACGGGGATGTAGAGCTGGGGAGGGGGTACCATGGGTCTGATCTGGCCCTTCATGGGGATGAACTGGGGCTGCGGGAAGGGCTGGGTCTTCTGCTTGGGGCCCCCGTAGCGGGTGTTGCTGACGTTGCTGACGGGGCTGGTGCTCAAGGAGCTGGTCTGCGTGACGTTGCTGGCGCCTGAGGTCTGGCCCGAGCTGTTGTAGGTAGACAGGTTGCCCCAGGCCCGCAGCCGGCTGTGGATGTCCTTGAAGCGGGGCCGCCGGCTCGGGAACTCGTGCCAGCACTCGATCATCAGCGCGTACACCCAGGCGGGGCAGTCGTCGGGGCAGGGCAGCACCTGCCGGCTCCGGACCATCTCCACCACGTCCTGGTTGGAGTGGCCGCAGTAGGGCTGCAGGCCGTAGCTGAACACCTCCCACAGGACCACGCCATAGGACCAGATGTCCGAGTCCACAGAGAATTTGCCGTACATGATGGCCTCAGGAGACATCCAGCGGATGGGCAGCAGCGCGCTCCCCGTCAGCTTGTAGTAGTCGGCCGAGTACACTTCGCGGAAAAGCCCCAAGTCCGAGATCTTCACGGTCAGCTTGTCATACACGAGGACGTTGCGGGTGGCCAGGTCCTTGTGGACCACGTGGTGGCTGGACAGGTACTCCATGCCCGCGGCGATCTGCGCCACCACGTGCACAAAGTCGGGGGGCTCCAGGGCAGACTTCACCGTGCGGTCGTCGTCTGTGCTGCCCACGTCCGAGTGCGGTGAGCGCATGACCAGGAACTCGTGCAGGTCGCCGTGCGAGCAGTAGCTGAAGATCATGCTGAGGGGCTGGTCCTTGGTCACCACGCCCAGCAGGCAGACAATATTGGGGTGCTGCAGCCGTGCCCGCAGCAGGGCCTCGTGCCGGAACTCCTCCCGGAGTGGCCCCTCCGCTTTGTCCTTCAGCGTCTTGATGGCCACGGCCTGGGTCTGCTCGCCCGGCACCGGGCCGAACAGATGCCCTTTGTAGACCTTGCCGAACCGGTCCTCCCCGAGCTCCTCCATGAACCTCACCGTGGACAAGCTGATCTCCTTGAGTTTGGCCTGCCAAGAATAAAAGCTCTGGTGAAACATTTCTGCCACCGAGATGCGCGAGGCAGAGCTGAACAGCTGGAAGGGCATTCTGTGGGGGCGGCAGTCCTAGAGCCGCCCCCCAGCCTGGGCTTGCAGAGAACCCGCCAGTCCCACCCGGGCCAGGCTCAGCCTGCCCCGCACAATGCTCTCTGCTCTTAAATGTGTTCTGACACCATGAGGCTGCCTGAAACCTTCAACAGGATCCCAACCAGGCTGCAAACAATGTCCCCACCCAAAGATATCATTGCAGACTATATGTGTGAGGGTGTGTGTGTGCGCACACCTGTTTACACACCCCAGCCATGCTGAACTCTGGCTGTCCTCCCAGCTGTGTACCCCACTTAGGGCCTTTCCTGATGTTCCCTGCTATGCGCCCACCGACAGGCCCAGCCACCACTGTTGATCACAACAAGATGCAATGTCTATTTCCCTCAAACCCTGAGGTGTGCTTCCCCCGATCTGAGTCATTTTTAGAGTCCAAGCCAGCTGCTCTCCAGATGTGCCTCCAAGCGCCTGTTTTGCCGCTTCCTCTCGATTAGATTCTCCAGTGGATGCCACCTGACAGAAGCACCACACAGGTGAAATTGATTTGAACCTTGCGTCTCAGCCTCTACAACTTCCCGTCCCTCTGTGTGCCTGGCCCCCGTCCTCGGAGGCTCTCTGAACCCAAGGGAATCTGTGCCCTCACCTGCCAGCCCTTCACCCACAGCAAACCCTCCGTGACTCCTGGCTACTGAGCTGAATGAGTCCACCTTCTCCCTCTTCAGAGCCTGGATGGAAATGCTTTTCCCCCAAAACTTTCAAGTAATGTAAATGCCCCTTCACTGATGCTAGGTGGGCTGGGAGAGACCTCCTCCTGTGATACATTTCAGTGTGTTCTCGCTACCCTAAGAACTCAGGTTGGGGGTGGTCTGCCCCCCTACCACCACTACAGGACCGTTGCTGTGCCCTTCCCTGTAAAACAAAACAAAGCAAAACCAACCCAACACCAAACTGACCAGAAAACAGGTCATCATCCCTTAAAAATACCATGTTGACTCTCTAGTGGTGGGGGTGATCTGAGCCCTTCTTTTGTGTGTCCTCCTGTGGGGACAGCTGAAGCACAGCAAAGTGAGGACACCTCATTCGGGCCCATGCTAAAATGGCTGGTCTCCGTCGAGGGAGAACAGTGAAGTCCAAACACACCTTCCATATACCCCCTAAGGACACAAACGTCCTGGTATATTTTAGAGAAGAAACGGCAAAATGAAGGACAGTTTAAAAGAATTATGTGCTGTGTATCAAGCAAATTAAGAAACCTAGAATTGGAGGTAACCAATCTCCAGGTAGAGGTTAAGCCTGGGGGAGCTGCCTCTTTAAATACGGGGGCACAGAGACCTGCTTGTGCTGGTTGATGAGAGGCATTTCCACGTCCTGGCTGGGTGAGGCCATCAGCTGCCGCCTCTGGGGCGTGGAGGAAGAAGCCTTCTGTTTATTCCGGCACATGCAGACCAAGAAGAAAAGGCATGCGATGACCAGGGGAATGGCGATGCTCGGAACCAAGATGTACAGAATTCCCATCCTGCTGCTGTCTTGGGGGCCTGTGAACAGCAAGGCGTTCATGAATTTTCTGAAAACATCCCTGTTTGCAACTCGAAGTTCTCCACCATGCCACTCCCACCTCCAACTAAAATATTCAAGCACAAGTAGATAATCAGGGTAAGTTTCACAAAGGGACAAAATTATAGGCCAAACCTCAGAAAAAGTAATGTACCCAAAAACACACATCCCTCTAAACATTTGTGAGACACAATCTAGAACTGCCTACCACGGAAACAAAGAGGAATACAGAGCTCAAAAAATAAACGAACTCTAAAGGTCTTACAGTAGCAAACACCACCATCACATTCCCTTCTAATTTGAATACCGTTGGAAATAGGTGCTCTGACTTTTCATCTTTACTTAACTCGATGAAACACATGGGACATGCTTGTCCTCAGTGAAGGAAACTGGATACTGGCATTAGAAATGATCCTTTTCTTCATTCAACATTTGAGGGTTTTCCACATTTTTGTACAATGAACCCACATTCTTTTAAGACAATAATTTAAAATGCATTTGATTTAAAAGAGCACTGGTAGCCAATTGACCTAACAATTTGCAGCAGTTCCAAGTGTTTTTCCTTCATTTTTTTCCACGGTGAAGACCAACGCTCTGTCTCCCCCTACAGGATTTACAGAAAAGCACAGAGGGCCCCAGGCTGCAAGGCTAAAGGACGGCCAGGAACCCTGTGGGCAGCGCTGCCCTCTGAGGGAGAGTTGAGGCTTCTGCTCTGTGATGTGGAAGGCAAGTCCTCCAAAAGGCCCCTCTCCCCACAACAGTTTTCACCTTAACCTTGTGAATAATCACATGGGACTTGGGCCTCCCTATGATCAGTGGGTAATGAGTTTTCCATGTGAAAGCAAACAAGTGATTTCTGGTCCATGTGGTCCCCCAAAAGAGCTAATTCAGTTCTAAAAATCACCACTACCACCACCATAGTAAAGAAGCCTTGTCCCAAAGCCAGTCTTGCCCCCCAGCCTCCAAAAGAAGATAAAAATCAAATACAACCACACACACAACTCTCCTGACCCCACCCCGGAGGCAGATATTTTAGAAGACTCAGGGGCAGTGGGGATTCTGGGTCATTTTTCACGATTAGGGCTAAGGGGAGATTCCAGGACCCTCAGGCCAAGGTGAGAGATGTGATCACCATCCATAGGTTTGTAAACCATTAACTTTTATCATTACCTTTTAAAAATCACCAACAGAACACATGCTTATTAATAATTCTATTGACAGCATTAGAGAAAAGTGAATGCGCCTAATAACTAATTTCACCAAAGGCTATATATACTATTGTTAATAGGTTGGTATTCACTTAATTTTTTATGTATATATTTAAGTTGAACATGAAATAACCAATATTCAACTAACTTGACATAGAGAAGCAGCAGTTTCATATAATTTTTAAAAACAGAATTTTAAATGGAATCACATCAGCCATGTTTTCCTGCTCCTGGTTTTGTGGCAGAATAATATATCTCAGGCCACGTTTCTCGCAGAACAGACAGCACTAGGCACTCTGCAAGAGCTGCACACTGTCCCAAGGTCCGGATGTACTTCAATTATCATCCAACCCCTTGTTGGTAAACAATTACTCTGTTTGCCATTTAGCTGTTAAAAGTGATTCTGCAACAAATATCCTTGCATTTCTGCCCTTTAAGTGCAAATATTTCTGCAATATAAGATTCCTATGGCATTGCCAGGTCAAAGAACATACATATTTCTCTTTATGATTTGATTCATTTTTAATTACAAAAATAAAAACTGCTCATTGTAGGGCTTCCCTGGTGGCGCAGTGGTTGAGAGTCCGCCTGCCGATGCAGGGGATATGAGCTCATGCCCCAGTCCGGGAAGATCCCACATGCCACGGAGCAGCTGGGCCTGTGAGCCATGGCCGCTGAGCCTGCGCTTCCAGAGCCTGTGCTCCGCAACGGGAGAGGCCACAACAGTGAGAGGCCAGCGTACCGCAAAAAAAAAAAAAACAAAAAAAAACACAAAAAAACCCTGCTCATTGTAAAAACATCTTATGTTTTAACATATCTGTAGGTCATGGGAAATCACTGCTGAAAGTATGATGTTTACCTTTGCAAAACTTCTTCCATGAAATATAGGCGCATATGTGTGCTCACTCACATACCCTTCACTCATTTTGTTTCTTTTATCAGAAAGAAAGAGAGAGGAAGGGAGGAAGGAAGGAAAGTGAGAGGGAAAGGAAAGGGAAGGGAGGGAGAGGAAGAGGATGAAAGAAAGACCGAGAGAGACAGAGAGACCGAGAGAAGAACAGGAAGAAAGAGAAACCAAAAAGACACAACACAGCTATTGCCCTACAGCTTGCTTCTTTCCCTTAACAGGTCAATATGAACATCCTTCCTTGCAGGAAACTTTTTTAAATAACTGGAGCATTCCATTGAATAACTTTACTATAATCTATTTACCAAACTTTTCATTCTTAAAATTTATTCCTGCACAGAGATAATGATGTCTGTAAAATTTGCAACCATGAACTACAAACTTTTCTCCTAGTCATAATTTAAGACAGAAATTGCAGGGAAACCAGTTAAGAGATTTAAGTTCTATTTTCTCCTCACTCTGCTAAGTCTCTGTGTAAACGCTGAGCAAAGTGGGAGGCGAGGGAGGGCAAGCAGGAGGCCTTGTGCCCCAACTACAGATGCTGGTCTGGGAAGCTGGTTGTAATAGTAATGGGAAGCATTTCCACTAATAGTGGGAAATGCATGACAATGTTCACTGGGAAACAAGAGGCCAAACTGAATATCCCAGGACCACACATGGAAAGAGGGCTGACAGAGGGGCCCACAAGTGTAAACAGTAGTCTCCGCTGAGTGGTAAAATTAGAGGTGATTTACACATTCTTCTTCAGACTTTTCTATAATTTAAAACGTCCTATAATGACGAGATACTACTTTTACAACCAGCAACAGCTTTATTTGAAACAAATAATCATGGTGGTGAAACTTGGTGTGGGCAGGGGGCTCCCAGAGCTATCAGCCTCCCCGTTCCACATCATCACAAAGTACACCCCACAGTCAACACTTTAAAAAAAAAAGAGAGAGAGAATACATACTACAAGAGGGTACGTCACACAGTTCCATGCGTACGTTTTTATTCTGCGTGAAGCACCAGGGGCCTTCCATCTGCCCTCCAGGGTTCCGGCAGTAGGCGTGCCCTCCTCCGAGCTCGGGGAAGTCGGCGCTGGTCAGGTGGTGGCTGTGGGGATGCTGCAGGGCCCACGGCTGGCACTGGTGTCCCGACTTGGTGGTGCTTGCCGTCCCTCTGTAATCCGTGCCTGAGCCGTTGTAGCACTGATGGTCTGAGAGAGAAGATGCGTCAGGAGGCCCAAAAATTAAGAGGAAGCCGCCCTCCTCTGGGGGTCCAGGGAGCACCCTTCTTCAACTATTCCAAAAAGGAACAACAAAGCCACTTTGCCTGGATGTACCCACGCTGAAATTTCCAAAAGACCGAAGAGTTTGACATCACTTCCAAGGAAAGCAGCATTAGACGTAATGACTGAATACAGTCCCAAGCCCACAAATTTAATGGGCGGGTGCACCAGGTACATATATGGGGAAAACAACTGGTCAGAAGTTATTCTATGGCCCTGAAACACCTTTGGACTCACGAGGCACCCCCATTCCACGATGACGATGTCAACCCCAGCCTCACGTTCACTTGCACCAGAAGCAAAACCAAACGACGCAGGAGGGAAGAGAAACTTCTAGGCCTGGCCCCCCAGCCTCAGTGAGGACGCAGCTCAGCCTCCTGTGCGCAGAGCCCCAGGCTCACTCCACTCTGGGGCGGGGGGGACCCAGGGCCTCTCTGAGCCACACCTGGGGTGTGTGTTTGTTGAACACCGGTTACACCGTGCTTGCCGTGTGCAGGCACTGTTCTAAGAACTTTCTAAATACTAATTCATTTAATCTACATTCCAGCTGCTGAGGTCAGTAGTTATTAACCCCGTATAATATGAGGAAACTCATATTTAAGCAACTTGCCTGAGGTCCCGTGGAGTCAGCCTGGCAACCAGGATTTGGACGGTGCAGTGGGTCTGTAGACCAGGCTCTGACTGCCCTGGTGAGGAACCCTGCCGCCCTCGGGAACCCTGGCCTCGCCAAGGAAGTGAATATTTCCCAAGCCTGGGAGGGAGGCGACCTCTTCCCTGGGTCCCCTCCCCTCAAGGAGGGCCACAATCCTAGTCAGCTGCGGAGAGATGCTTGTGCACCACAAGGCAGTCTTGGAAGCGGACCCTGCCTCCCCCAGAGCTCCTCACAGCTTTGGGGGCAGGTGCAGAAAGTCCTCCCATCTTAGAGAAGCCAAGCTTGTGGCTCATCAGGGTAGAGTGACTTACTGGGGACCCACAAGCCGGCAGGGCCAGGAGGGCTGTGCAACTGGAACTGGACAACGGCGAGTCCCCACCCTGCAACTGCCCTACCGGAATGGGGGCCGGTCTGTGAGACTTCCCCAGATGGAATGGGGTCCCCAGGCTCTTAAGAGGCAGGACCCCGGCCTTGGGGGCGGGCACAGACTCACAGCGGCCCAGCCTCTCGGCTGGGATGCCGATGCGCATGCAGTTGGCGGCGTCCGGGCTCTCGGGCATGGGCAATGCCTCGCACTTGGGCAGCTGCAGCCGCATGAGGATGAGCGGGTTGGAGCGCGCAATCGTGTACTCCTGGCGGCATAGGTCGCTCTCCAGCACCTCGCACTCATCCCGGCACAGCTCGCGCGGCTTGGGCGCCCGGGAGCGCGCGTCGCACAGCGGGAACACGAAGTGGCAGAAGGACGGGATGGCGAACTGCGAGCACTGGTCCGACAGGTGCGTGGAGGTGCCGATCATGGTGAAGGCAGCTGCGGAGGCGGCGAGGCCGGCGTTAGGGTGGGCTGGTCACTGCCTGGGACCAACATCTGTCCGGCAACCCCTGCCCGGCGCCCCTGGTTTCATCTCCAGCCCTGGCTCCCCACTCTTCCCAGCGCCCCTGGTCCCACCCACCCTGCCCGGCGCCCATGGCCCCCATCTCGTCCGTGCCCCGCCGCCCCCCCGCCCTCCGCCTTGTCTTCTGCCAGCTGCAAGAGGCTCTCACAAGAGCAGGGCCCCGGGGAGCACATAGGCCGCCCAGGTTTGCACCAGACAAAGAAGGTCCCTGGTGCCAGGGCTTCATTTACAAACATCAAAAGCGAGACAAGAAAGAAAGAAAACTAGGCCCCAGATCTCATCCACCTAGATGCTACTTCCATGACAGGAAGATTCTGTTATCAGACCCAAAGCCACTTCCTAAGGTCCTGCTATGAACTGGCTCTGCAAGCACATGGCGGTAGGTAAAGCTGTGGGCTGAGTGGCTTCTAGAAGGAGAGATTGGAGCAGAGGCACAAGGACCAAGCCTTGGTCTTCCTGACATCTCAGGGCCTGTGAGAAGAGGGGAGGCCTGGCCAGGGGATGGAGATAGTGTGCCAGAAAGATGAACGATCCACCCTGTGACATGCAGCCCAAGGAGGAGTAAGATGACAAATGGGGGTGCAGGGGAGTCCCTCAGGTGGAGTCTGGGGAGAGCCAAGAAACTGCTGGAGGAGGTTCTAAGTGGGGAGAGGGGCAGGGCTTTGTGATAAAGGAGAGCAGAGAAGCAGGCTGTCGCAGGAGAATCTGGAGCCAGGGTGGGCTGGCTTGCTTTTTAGGGGCAAGACGTCACAAGATGGAGCCTGATGGGAAGAACTTGACACCTGATGTGGAGAAGGGAAGGGGGTGGGAGCTGCAGATACAAAGTCTAGGCAGGTGAGCAGGAGCAGAGTTGCCAGTGGCAGGAGGGAAGGCGTGCACTCCAGGCGCTCTCCTCAGAGCTGTGGCAGTCAGGGTTCAAAGGAAAGCATCAGTTGCCCCATACATGCCCACGCCAGAAGGCCCACCCCACTCTGACCTATGAAGGACCTGCTTATAAGGATCTGATCTTGGACAGCTGGAGGAAAAGAGGCGCCTCTGTCTACACACCCTGCTGAGATGGGGAGGAAGAAACCAGAGACACTGGAATTTAGTTCCTGGGACACCCCAGCTCCACCCATGACTTGTAGTGCCATGCCCACTGTGGCCAGCAGGTGGCGCTACTGGCACCCATTCCCCACACCGCCCCCCCAACGCCCCCACCCCCACCCTAAGGACCCACCAGCCACCCATGGCAGGCATTGGGTTAGATGAGCTGGCATGGAAGCCCAGTTCTCGCCCTGCCCTGTCATTTACTACAGGGTTGTCAGTCACTCAGTCCTTTCTGGGCCTGGGTCTTTATCTGTCAAGTGATCTGTCGAGACCACACTTTGGGGAATGAAAGCCCACATGGAGCCAATAAAATAGCACGTGAGGTGAATGGTCCACGAGGGTCTGGTAACAGGCTGTGTCCACGCGCTGCACGCAGCGCTGGGTTCCAGGCACTCTGTAGTGTGCTGCTCACATCATCCTTAGTGTTCTGGTCCCTTCTGGACAATATTAAAAATGAGGAATGGAGAGGTAAGAGGTTAAGGTGCAGGGTCTCTTGGGTTAGCCGACGAACCAAGTTTGAACCCAGTTCAGTCCCACCACGTGAGCTGGCAACTAACTACCAAGAGTGTTGTTACCAGTGTTGGACCTGACCCCCAGGCAGGGAAAGACCTAAGAAAGCCAAACATGGCATTGCTTTTGGGGTACCAACTGATAGGATGTCAAGGCTGACCCTTTTAGGATTTCTCCTACCCCTGCCCCAGAACCTATCATGTGAGGGCTTATTTCTGAAAGATGGTTCTAGGCACCGAGGAGGTCCAACCATCATGTCCCCGCTTTTGTTTACACCCAGCACATCACTCTGACGGTTCTGGGGTCCATTCGTGGGAAGCTTCCAGAGTCCCTGGAATGAGTTCTGACAAGCACGCTTTCCAAATAGACTATCTCCACAACCAATGCAGTCTCTAAACCTCAAGTCAGTCTAGAGCAACTTCACATATATTTTTTCAAAAATACACAAATGTAGAGAACCCTCATTCTAAACTTGTACCTAAAAACTACTATAAAAATGAGTCTGCTTAGACATCTGATTTGTTAATCCTTTAAACAATTCCTGAAGAAATAATTGAGAGACAACCTTGTGCCTTGCATCAGTGTTTGCCAATTACTGGGATATAAAATTAATTCTGGAGTCTGCGGGTAGCATTTTAAAAGATGATTAGAATGGAACAGAGGATGTCAGAGTGCATGGTTCGCATTAAGGCTGGAACCAACTTTTTTCTTTAATGAAATAAAACTGAAGAGAAAAATCACAGGGCACTCACTGCCTTTGTTCAGGGCAAATGTTGTTTCCTGTAACCCATTTCAGTTCTATGAAGTACAGATATGTGTAGACTAAGTCATGATGTAAAATATACTTTTTATTGATACTGTATGTTGTGGTCAGAAAGTTTGAGAAGTTCTGCTTTAAATGGCATAAGAAGCTTTTCCAATGAGAGATACCGACAATTTCAAAAGATTCTCCCATTGGAACAAGATAGCACCTTCCAAGATCTCCAGGTCCCATTACTGCCCTTCCATTCTCACTGGACACCTGGCCCTGTCCTCAGGGGGCTCTGTAACCATGGGCCAGGCAGGCTCCTCTGTGACCGTGACCTTAGACCCTCCAGACTGTGGGTGAAATACAAAGCCAGGGTTGACCTAAACTTAGAAGAACATCAGTGTCACCTATGTGAGTTTCTACCTGGGGACCTCCTTTGTGCCCTTACCAGGGCAGTGCTTTGCCAGCCCCTCCACAAATCCCTCCAGAATCACCGGGAGCCCCACATCGCAGGTTGGCCAGGGTCAAGAACCACTGTGCCGAGGATGTAGTTCAACGGGGACACCTGCCATCTTCACAAGATCCTCCTTGTTCCTTATAGAGTCTGGAGAGAAAACGTTTGGGCTTGTGGGGAGAGCAGAGAGAGGCGGAGGGGGGCTTTTTGGCGCCTTGGTCTAATTCATTTTCTCACTTCTCAAGGGCTTTCCCCCAGGAGGTCCTTGACATCAATGTGAGGACTAACAACCAACCAGAGACAGTAACTTCTAAAACGACGGAGAACGAGCAGCTTCACTCCTAAATGATCTGCTCCATTTCTCACACAACGGAGCAGGTACCCAAAGACCCGGCTATGCCTGGAAACTGGGGGCCTACGGGGGTCTGAGTTCACTGCAGTGTCCCCAGGCACAGCCGATGGCCTGGAACCTCTGTCTCCAACAGCTAAAATCAGGCCCGGGTACCGTTTAATCAAGCATAACTCCAAGAAGGCACAAGAGTCAGGAAAAGTAGAACCAAGAGTGAATGTGGCAGGTGCTGGCCTGGCCACGCGGTGAGGACAAGACAATGCAGGGCTTCGGATCCACGTGGTTGACTTAATTCAGTGTGTTGGTACATTCTAAGCAGACTGTACTTGCTAATTTTCATATATAAATGGGAACATTTTAGGATAAACCACGGTGGTAATTGCAACTGCTTCTGAAAAAGGCCTCTGACTTTCTCTTGCAGGAGGCAGGGCACAGGGACTTGCTGCCCAAGGTCATAACCAACAAAACACCCAAGTGGGACTGAAAACACACCAGCATGGCGACAGGCAGCTGTGTGTGTGCTCACTGTCTCAGAACAAAGGTCTGCGCTCCTACCTGTGATTCGGTTTTCAATCTCCCCCTGCATCTGGAGAGAGTCCACATAAATGGTCCGGTTCCCAATGAAACGTGCACAGGCGATTCCCCGATAAGGCTGGCAGAATCCATCCTCATGGTAGTCGTCTCTGGTAAAAACACATGGTCTGTAAGTGCACTGGAAGGTGTCAAATATCCCCGATGTTTTTCTTTTCTTTTTAAATTCAGCATCTGATGATCTAGCCATCTTGTCCCTTGGCATTTACCCAAATGAACTGAAAACTTCTGTCCACACAAAAACTTGCACATGCATGTTTATAGCAGCTTAATCCATAACTGCCAAAACCTGGAAGCAACCAAAATCTCCACAGTGAATGGATAAACTGTAGTACAATGTAATATTACTCAGCACTGAAAAGAAATGAGCTATCAAGAAAAGACACGAGGGCTTCCCTGGTGGCGCAGTGGTTGAGAGTCCGCCTGCCGATGCAGGGGACACGAGTTCG